GGTGTCAGGAAACTATTGTAAGTGTATCATTGTTTCTTCCATAAATGAAAAGCCAGAGATATTTACTATTAACGTTGTTTATCTCATTTATGTATTTCGTGAGGTTGTCCTTATGAAGGACTGAACAATTAGAAACTATGACTGATATTTTGAAGAAAGAAAAGCTTTGACAATCTAAAACTCGAGGTTCAGAAATGCCTTTATCTCACGCAGAGGTTTTTCTTATATAAAACCTTGACTTTTCAACACCACCTCACAAATACCCTGTTCTTTCTCAGAAAACGCCATTTCAGATGGACTGAAAGAATCACAGTTATGTTGAGCACAGTCGGTACAAAATGGCACAGCACAGAATTTTGTTGCTAGCATGAATTTGCAATATTATTACTTTTAAAAAAGTAAGTCCACCCAGCCATCCGTCTATCGACACATGATGATATGGCACACGGCTGAATAAAGAAACATACTGCCCTACTATTAGTAGTATTAGAGGCATGAAAATAGCATTACACAATAGCAAATAGCTTTGATCAAGCAACAGTATAGTATCTCTTTTTTAGGTTTACAGAATTGAGAGAGAGAGAGAGAGAGAGAGAGAGAGAGAGAGAGAGAGAGAGAGAGAGAGAGAGAGAGAGAGTACATTTAAAGACAAAAGTTGAAAAGTTAAGAAAATATGGTACCAATGTAATCATGAATTATATTTGTATCATGAAGCTCACCAGTAAACGAAAATGTAAAGAGACTCCATTCTTGTTACCTGCAACTGGTTCATTTTTACTACGCATAGCTTGGAGCATGTTCATCAATAGCTACTTTTATATTGTAGCATGATCACTTACAAAAAGCAGAACAACTGGCAATTTTCACAGTTCAGAAGGCATTTTGATACTGGTCTCTAAGAAACACACCGAATTTTCACTCAATGTCTTTCTGGATATCTGAAAATGCTTCCAGGGTCAATCAGCCTTCTTCAAATATTATTTCTTAAGGCAGATTGTATAATATACAAAAATATATTAACTTTCACAGATCAATGAAACATTTCTGAATGATACGATTGCAAAGGGAATTAAAACGTTAGGAGTGCATTACTTCATCATTTGATGGTGGTAGGTCTGCAAGAGAGACTGGGGGTTGCTGCACTCGAGACAAGCAACTTGGTTTTGAGGCCCGTCCATATGTTGTGTTCCTGGACGGAGATGCAGATTCTGGGACTAGTAGTGGCACACCAGGAGAAGTGACAGCTCCTCCTTCCCTCCAGCTAGACACATCACTGGGCAGCCAGACCCAAAGAGAGGTCAAGATCCGCACTGGTAGATGTTGTCTTAATGCTCGCTGTTCTTCATTAATTGTTTCAGAAGAAGCCTAAGGATTAGAAGGCAGAGACATGGAGGTAGTAGACGGCTCAGAAACTGTTGGTGTTGTGCTCTCCGACAAAGCTGACACAGACACAACCTCTGAGTCTTGTTGTGACTCACTAGAAGAGGCAGTGCTTCCCCTCCTCCTGGGCAGATGACGTCTTAGCCAGGACTGAAGAGCGGGCAAGATCCGTACTGGTAGATGTCATCATAACGCTTGCTGTTTTTCAGCTAATTGTTTCAGAAGAAGCTGAAGTATCAGAAGGCATAGACGCGGTGGTAGTGGATGGCCCAGGCGCTGTAGCAGGTATAACAGAATATGTGGTGTAAAGACCTCTGATGACATCCTCGTATGATGGCGGTGTAGAGCTGTCATTGTGCTCTTGGGGTGAGGAGGTTGCGTTGTCATGGCGTAGTTGGGGTGAAAGGTTTGAATCCTGTACTAGATGGTAAGCTGGAGGGGGGTCAGTTTCATCAGAGTGTGGAGCTGCATTAACACGGTTGGCATTAGAGTCAGAGCTGGAACTTCCTGCTGTGTGATATTCAGACTCATCATCTTCGAGCTCTTGTACATAAGCTCTGAGTTCATTCATCCCGTCTGTGATGGCGTTGGGATCTATGTCATTTAAATAGATCGGATGAAGTGAACGTGCTGTGGGAAAACTGCGGGGGCTCTCTTCTGCTTCTCTCAAAGCTCTTTCTTCTCTGTCCACTGGGTCTTCTACATTTTCATCAACAACACTCAAAACTGCTCTGTCACCAGGCCTATCTCCCACTCTATCACTGGGCCTGTCTACTGCTTCAGGATCAGAATCATTGCTTTCAGCATCCTCCAGTGAACCTGGATCAAGAACCCTGAGTGGCTTTATGCCTAAAAGCTTTGATACTTGCCCATATACCCGAGGTAGCATGATAAGCCCAGCACATATAACTGCCATGTGTAATGAGGTCAGAACTGTGCGGTAAGACCAGCCTGTTGTGGCTTCAGGGTATCGCTTCTTCGGGTACCCATTAAGGTAATAATTTAAACCTATGTGTCCAAATCCGACTGAGGAGAAGAGAATCATGAGAGTGTCACTAAAAATTTGTTTTTTTATGAGAGAGAAATATCAAGATCAAAGAGTTATTGAACACTGCCTATTAAATGTCTACATTAAGTGAGAACCTTGGAAAACTGCCGAAGTAAGAGTGCAGATATATGAGCATACCCAACTACAGTTTTTATGAAGAGAATACTTATGAGATAATTTTTTAGCCAAGCCAGATAGAAGCAATGCCAACATATATCAGTTTAATCAAATACAGAGGTAAGGGTTGGAATTGGAATATAATTGCTGCTAGACCTTGATATGAACTAAATACTGTCTATTGGGTACTTTTGGTGCCAATTTGAATTTGCAATTTTTATAGAAATTTCCCAAGCCTTAAACGGAGAACTACTGAATTGGGACATGCGACACTGAGCCATACAAGTTAAAAATTTAAAACGTTCATGAAAAATGAAAAAGGCAAAACACAAAAAACATACAATGCAAAACATAAAAACCAGTTTACAGTAATACTGGTCTCTGAAAATAGTAAATGGGTAAATTTGAAAACAAAACAAAGATTGTTTGTAATCATCCTATAGATGATATCTATAATTGAGGAAAAATACAGGTAAATTACTGTCAGGACTAACCTAATATCTTTTTGTGAGTCGATGCTAAAAACCCCCATCTAGATGGACGATCTTGATAGAGTACCGGTATGCCAAGGCAAAGTACCTTCTTCCTGCTTACCACAAAAAAATGTTTCAGATTGTCCTGTGTTATTGTATCCTTTCACACTTTTCCAAAGGCAGTTTTTGTCACTAGCACATCATTCATGTTGTGCCCTAATGCTTGTCTAACCATCTGCTCTGAGTATTTTACTCTGATCAACATTAGCAGCTAAGTGGAGGACTTCATTGTACACTAAAATGTAAGCTCAGGGTGCCATTAGATTCATACCTCCACAACAGCTGACTACACAAGCTTTGGTAAGAGTAAACACGATGCAACCGATTCGACAGTTTCTGCCCCTCAGGAACTTGAAACCCATCACAAGAGCAGTAAACAAGCAGATCATCCCAAGAACCATTAAACAACGAGTCTCGTGGATGTACCCTGTGTGAAAAGACAAATGCAAAAAAAAAAAGTTATAAAAAAGTAAATAAAATGAGGTGCAAGGTCACAGACTGTGATTTTGTGCCGCCATTATCTTTTTATTTATTTATTAATTAATTCTTTTAAAGGTTTCCACCCACCTTTCTCCCTATACTATCAGCTACACAAGGCAGAGCACAGTCCATGCCACACAAGTCTGTCTCTGGAGACTTCAACAGCTTTCTCACATATACAGCTCTTGGCCGATTGCGTCCTCTCTGATTGTACTCTCATATAGCTGCCAATTGGTCTATCTCTTCTAAATTCACTGAGTGCTTTTATTTATTCACCTTACACTCGGCTCTAACAAACTAAGAGCTCGGGGTAATATTATATGCAGCCCAGAAACAAGGAAACGACGAGAAGTTGTGAACCTCAGAAATATAAATGACGATACCAAAGATAAGATACATGAATGTAAGAAAGATGTATTTCAAAAATTGCCCAAACAACCAGGAGACATTGAAGAGGAATGTAGCCACTTCAAAGCAAGTGTGAACAGAGCATTAAAAGAAGAGTTCAGCACCAGGAAAACAGGAGGGAAGAAAAGGAAAACAACTCTATGGTGGAATGACCAAGTAAAGGAAGCCATCCAACTGAAGAAAAAGGCATTCAAAAAGTGGCAGAAATCAAAGACAGAGAAAGATTACATCATATACAGAAAGGAACGCCGCAAAACAACAAGGGTAGTGAAAGAAGCTAAGAGCAGATCCTAGACAGTATATATGGAGAAAAGCTGGCAACAAAATGTAAAGAAGACCCCAGAGAGCTTTACATGAGTTATAAAAGCATGAGGATGCAGGGAGAACCATTCAACTCAACTGAAATAATCAATGACGAGAACAGAAACCCTATTTTTAGTAAGCTGAAGATTAAGGAAATATGGAAACTTTGTTTCCAGGAGCTGCTGAATCCTACAGAAGAAATAACACTATTTCAGCTTCTCACCAAAAGAAACCCAACATGATATGAAGAAAAGCCCCACAAACAAAGTGCCAAGTGTTGATAACATCACAGCAGAAGAGATCAAGCTATGTGACCATTTCGGTGAACTCTGACTGTGGAGGATATTTAACCTGGCCTGGGCGACAGTAACAACACCCGGTGACTGGCAACTAGCTGTCATTCATTGTACTATTGGGAAAAGAAAGGTCAGGTAACAAAACTGTGGAACCTACAACTCAGCCTTGTGGGTAAAATGTTTGCCAAGATATTGGAAATGAGAATGAGACCAACTGTAGAGACTCAACTCAGTGAGTTGGGTTTCAGAAAAGCAAGGGCAGTACTGACCCTATTTTTGCATTAACAGACAGTTGTGTGAGACTGCCATTGCACACGAAAAAGATCTCAATATCGTCTTCGTGGATCAAGAAGAGGCGTTCGACAGGGTAAATAGACGTCAACATTGGGAAGTCTTAGAGGAATATAGCGTACAGGACAATGACAGGAGAACATCATGGCACTTTATATTAGAGATATTATTTCTATGACATTTCAAACATGTCTATACATTAAACTTCAGAAATTAGCAGGGGCAAAGGCTGACTTGTTTGACGGGGTAATCAAAGTGAGACAAGGAACCAGACAGAGATGTCAAACAAGAATCGAAACCGGGGCGGCAACACTGAGTTGTGAATGAAAACAAATCCTGAATTCATATTGCATGTTCAACCGCCAAAATAATCGGGAAAGTATCTCATAAAATATTATTATTTATTTCAACTAACACTAAATGCACAAACAAACGCAGAGATGCCAATACTACGAGTAGATCTAATACACGACAACTATCAATTTGATTTCAAATTTGGCTGTTTTTGTCTAGCTTTTCGCGGTCAGGAGCCGATGTCATAATTGAGGTCACGATCTGATTATAGGACGGTAAAAAGTCGAGGAAAAAAACAAGGGCTCATAGCAGTCATGAGATGTTTAGGAGTTACTTCCCCTCACCTGTGAGGTAGACTCAACCAGTGTAATAGTTTTAAGTTAATAATCAGTGCTTGTGACTGCTTATGACAGTTGCTCGAAAGGAGTGAACAGGATATTTATGTGGCAATGAATTTTCCCTTCAACTCTTTTGGTAGACTCTTCCAGCTGTACTTTAAGCTTACATAATCATAGCTTCTGACCGCTTATGGAGTGGCCCGAAAGGGGGGAACAGGGTATATATGGGGCAATGAAACAGTTTGGAATGTTAGACATACTGTTATTGGTGATCATGGACGTCTTTTTACTTTTAATTTATGAGGCCTACGTCTATAGGTGAATATGACTGCGACGATGTTCCAAAATTAGGAAGGGAAGCAGTGATTATTTGATTATATAGACACTTCGCCACAGGAAATTACAACATAATAGAATGACTGCAAACAAAAATAAATTTGAATTGGCTAGACCATATTGTGTCCTGATTGAAAGTATAACATGTACAATAGAAATTTGATATAACAGGGATGGTGGGACCAGAGAAAAAGTCTTGTTAAATCAGAAATGCAAGGGAAGTTAGCATTTGAGGACTAATCCAGCTGTATTTATTCATGGGTATTTTCCCTTTCCATAAGCATCCACGAACAGGGGTTTTGGCCATGTGGCAAGCCTGCGCATGACACATTACGTGTGCATGTAGCTAGGCTTAGGGCTAGATCGAAGTTTGCAACACACCGCAGCCCTCTCTCGCTTCACCCGCTGCGTGTGCTTGCAGTGGCATGGCTAGCGTGGGCTTGCTCCATCACTGCATTACTCTCTCCCCCTCTCTCTCTCTCTCTCTCTCTCTCTCCATATTGTTAACAAGCCTTTGTCCTTGCTATAACCGATTGGGCTCCGATGAGGCCCTGTTAACGATAACTTTTAATAGAGACAAAGTAGGAAAAAAACGGGGATTTAAAAAATCCATGTTATTACCGGATCCCTGTTATTACCAGGCCTGTTATATAATATGGTTTCCAATGTATATCATAAACAAGGGGGTCAGGACAAATACAAGACAGACCTACCTGGTACACCATTGTTCTCGTAACGTTCACAGTCAATGAAAAAATTTCCCTCTTCAGTGCCATGATTTGTCTCAGCATCCTCGTGTTTGGTGCTCTTGCGAAAACATTCCTTAAACAAGCCAGCAGAATATGTCTTTGCCAGTCCCTCATACTGAAATTCAAGCCAGTTGTCCGTAAATGAACCCACAGCATACAGGAGACTGGCTGGCCCATAGGCAACGATTCCAACCTTGAACAAGGCCGCCACTACTTCTTCCATTTGTGAGCTGTGGACAATCACATAGACTGAAACAATTAAAGATCTATGTGTCTTTTTTATAGTCGCATAAACATGAATCAATAATAATTACTAAACAGATGTAGAACAGTCAAAGGTTCAACAGATTCACTAACAGTAAAAGGGGCAAATATGTTATCCTCAAAGCCAGAATTTTGAACATTTTAAAACACTACTTTAATATGAAGTATTTTGGTATAGAATCAAAGAATAATCACTCGAAAATCCTAATCAGACGAAAATTCAGGTTTTATTTTTCAAAATGCTGACAGACAGACTTGTTCTTCATTTAATGGTCTCCCCCTTCTTTAATTATACATGTGTTCTTTCAAACCAATGAAACAAAGGACATGAGTTCAAGATTATGTTGTATTCATGTCCCCTCCCCCCCGCCCATAATACTGTTATTGGGGGGTAGGGGGTGAAGACACAATTTACAATGTAAATCATAATACCGGGTGTCTCAAACACGACCCATTTAAAGGACAATAACTTGGACATCTCACAACCACTTTCATTTCAAAGAAACTTTGAACAAACAAAATTCAACCAAGGAGACGTAGCATTTGTCAATATGAAGGGAATCAATGCGTTCGAAAATATAAAATTTTATAAATTTGAACCAAAATTGAGGAGAACGCAAACCTTTGTAACTTCTTAAAAATCATCCATGTTTTATTTCTAATAGCAACTATCTGTGCATTGAAGAATAAATTTTATACAAAAATCCATAATGCCAAATAAACTCAAGGAAGGTGGATGTTAAATTGCATGATCCAAGAGTTGATCTCTTTCTTTTCTTTTTTTTTTGTTGGTAGTAAGCGTTTTACGGCGCTTGCAAATGCATATATAATAAGGTCATATTCATATATATACTATATGATATATGAGCGCGCGGGACACATGAAACATTTTCAGTTGGTGGGAAATTATGAATTTGCGCGGGTGGCAGCCAAAGCCTACTCTTATTGATTTTAGACCACCACGGGATCTTAAACGCGCAACTTGCACACACTGGACCTCCGAGATTTTTCACCCTTGTCCGAAAAGGCTTTCAGCAGGGTATATATCCTTGCTTGAAGTGAAAAAA